AAAAAAAAAAAAAAAAAGAAAAAGAAAAAAAAAGAAAACTAGAAAGATTGTGCAGGAGTTTGTACTCACCGTAACACGTATACTGGAAATTTAGTGCGACAATCTCAACGGAAATAAGAAACAAAATAACATAAAACACTTATGACAAGTCCATTCACAGGCACTGACAAATTAGAAGTTACGAGGCAAGATGGCGCTGAAAAATATTTCCTTCTTTATTGTGTGTCTCGCACTCTGCAGTAGTATTAGGAGAAATTTGTAACATTCGGCCCGTTCCACAAGAGCTCGACGCAGTTCGACCTGTTCGTCAATGATCGCATACCTGTTTTGCAAGGAGTATAGCAATCGACTAACGTACTACGTGGATTTTTTTATTGAAGCAAGGAATTTGTCAATGAAGAGAATGTTTCTCTTTATATAACCGCAAGGAGTGTTTCCAAGACGCGATTTTCCGCGCGTGGTTGTACATCGACTAAAAGCGTATTCAGCGATCAACGATCGAAAATGTGGAGAATGTTTAATATTTTTCCGTATGTACAAATGCAGAACGTACTTGCCGAACGAGTGAATCTGGCATGCGCATATTGTCGTATTCAACATACCGAGGGTTCAATTGTTGATTGAGAGATCCTGTTTTTTAAACTGACGATACTTTGCCTATCGTATTATTCCGTAACAATTGAAAACAAAGTGATCGACAAATGAAAACATCGAACTTCTGTGTGCTGTTGTTGTCTGTATAGATTAAAATCTATTTACATGAACTGGATAATGAAATAAACGTCAGCATTCGAACATAACCTTAATCTTTATGATCTGATAAGTGAGATCCGTGTTGCTATTTCATAAATAATCCTCTGAAAAAAAAACTGTCCGTTACAAGCAAATCTTCTCAAGATGAATATTAGACTTTTGAAAGATCCTGCTACTGTGAGTAGCCGTATATTTGTGGGTCATTTGCAAACCGACGACATGACCAAGGTTGAATTGGAGGAACATTTTTCAAAATACGGGACGGTTGTTGGCTCTTCGATAAACCGAGGTTTCGGCTTTGTACAATTTGAAGAAGAACAATCTGCTCAGAAAGCTATTCAAAACGAGGATGGAGCAATGTTCAAAGGCAGAAGGATAGGTATTTTCATGGATTATTCTGTTTTATGTTTTCATATTTAGCAATGCAACTGTTTAATTTTCAATTTCTTTGTCGCTATATTTTAACATAGTTTATTATATATTTGTTTAAATAGATGTTAGACCGGCAAAGAAAGATAATCAATCCAGTGGAGGTGGCGGAGGTGGAACAAAACAGTTAGGGGGACCTAGTAATCAATTTAATCCTGGCAATAATCATTTTAATGCTGGAAATGATCCTTTTAACAGTGGGAATCAGAATTATGGAGGAAATTCGAATTTCATTGCAAATCAGAGCTTTGGTTGTGATCCACAGTTAAATGATCAGAAAGGAAATAATATGCAGAATATCCGAGGTAGTGGAAATGAGCAGTTTGGAGATGGAAGTCAGACTAGAGATAATGTAAATGACCAATTTGGAAATCAGAATAGAAACAATGGGAGCGATCAATTTAACATGATGCAGAATAAAGGAAATAATAATTTTAATCCAAACAATCAGAACAGGAATGCTGGCGACCAATTCAATCAAAATAGAGGTGGCAATCAATTTGGGCCTGGTGTAAATCAAAATAGACCTGGTGGGAATCAGAATCGTAGTGCAAATAATCAGAATCAAAGTGGTGGTGGAGGTGGTATGAATAGTAGTGGAAGTGGACGGCCAAGGGGTACCCGAGGTGGAAAAAATCGAAATAAAAATAGAGATAATTCAGGTGGAAATAACTTTAGAGATCGTAGTCCTATTAATAGAGGTGCTCGGTTAGATGATAAAGGTGGTAGAGATTGGGAACATAAACAAGGAGATAGATTAAGGGGAAACAATTTTGGCAGAGATTCATTCAATGATAGCAATAATCGTTATGAAGATTTCAAAAATTCTACTTCTAGAGATATAAATATGAGTTTTAAGTAAGTCAATATATTAAAATTTTTTTTGTTCTTATACGATAATTATTAATATTAATATTTTTTGTTTAATAGTAATACAAGTTCATCAAATGAATACTCAAATGTAACAACTGAAAAGAATGACTGTGAAATTATTGTTGTTAACAAAGCATTAACGTATGTATAAAAATAATTTATTACACTTTGTGGTTGAATGCTTTTATAATTAATTTTCCTAAATAGGGAATATGCTGAGAGTATTGAAATGAGATTGAAGAAAATTGGATTAACAGTTGATTTGTTATTTCCAAATGAAGATGTGCTTCTTAGTAGAGTTTTAGGAAATATTGCGAGTCGTGGATGTTTATATGCAGTTGTAGTTACGCCTATTAATCAAGAACATCATTCCCTTACTTTAAATATTCTTCACGGTTTACCTCAAGGTACGTTTTCTGGTAACTTTATTAAACTTTGAATCGTTGTGTTGATGTAATTTCATTCCTTTGTACAGAACATAGAAATATGCTCGTTGAAGATGCTATTAATTTAATATCACGAGATTTTGCTAATTATAAAGCTGGTGGACGATCGGTTCCACTGAATACACCTTTCGCAAACGAACGGCATCCTGATGCTATACAAGTTCTTTTAAACATGCTGGCTGACAATCATCAGTTAACAGTATTGCAATATGATCGTGTTATAAAATATCTCGAAATTAAACGTGAAGAACAAGTACAAGTTGAGTTGGGAGATGTAAAAGATTTACCATCCACAACTACGACGATAACAGTCAATGATCCGAAACAAGCTGAATTACAATCTAGGATACTTAATATTCTAAACAGTAATAAAACAACTTCATCTGCACCAGCACCTAGTCCAGTTCCAGCTCCAACCTCAACGCCAGCGCCCGTTCCGCCAGCTACTTGGGGAACAGGTAAAATTTGTGTAATTTTACTGTCTAGGTTTAAACAAAATATAAATATTATTAAAAAATCAACGATTTTATATCAGATTTCTATTATTGTATCATAAATTAGAAAAACAAACATTTTAAAAGTAAATGTTTCTAAAAATTTATGTTTATAAAATTAGTTATCAATTTATTTATTTCAGCGACTTTTCGAAATAATTAATTCATTAGTTAAAAATTTCTTTGATAAGGAATTGAAAAGATAGACATATATTATATATGTAGTAATCTATTATATGTTTTTACTGCATTATATAATATGCATTTTCATTTGTTGCAAAAATACTGCTAGCGTTCGTTCGTTACGTAAAAAGAGCAGTATTAAAAATAAAAATTATATCGCGTTTTTAGTGCGAAGAAACAGACTGTCACACTTTTGCCTCTTTTTACACTTTTAAAAGTGGGTGTGTCTTACAGATATTAGATCACCTATTTCTTATTTTCTTTGTTGGATTTGTTCGTGTATTTTTCATGAACATGCCCAAAGAAAATGTTTTAAATCGCGTATGTAAATCACTAACGAAATTGACGGTATTGTCGAGAGAAAGAACCTAAAAATTTTGTCTAAAAACTTTTTAGACAAATAATTTCAGGTAAAATTTTAATAAAAATATTGAGTACGAGTGATGAAAAAAGACGAAACGAACTTCGTACGCTTTGGGTTTCTGATCAAGTTCTTCGTGGGTGTAGTGCTACTAGTGTCGCTTGCCATATAATCCCCAGTGATCAAAGCGAACGAACTTCGAATATATATATTGCTGGTATTACAACTGCTAACTTCATGAGTACATCATATTATGCCAGCAGCATCAACTGCAACAACAGCATCCACAACAACAACTACAACTACGGGAGTTTCACCGTCACCTCTCCTAAACGATCCAACAGTTCAGAAGGCACTTGACAGTCTGTTGCAAGGCAATTTACTCAAAAGCATCGGCGATCAGCAACCGACTACAGCTTCAACACCTCTGTTTGCTGCTTTTTCGAATATCGGCCGATTTTAATTTATTTCAATTTTATTTATCATATAACGAATAATTGGGAATCTGGATCTCCTTTATTTTTCTGATATTCATACTCTTTCTGGCGAATAATCACATTTTGTTTAACATGAAAATTTTATGACATTTGATAAGGAATTAGAATACTGGCAGAATTACGTTCAACAAATAATTATGATATTTGCCGCTGATAAACTGTTAGCATGCTTTTATCTGTATTAAAAAAAGTATATTTTAAATATAAAATTTATAATATTTTGTAAATTCTATAGATATTATTTGCAAATATTTGGTTGTATAATGGTTCAATTCTTCCACTCTTAGGAAAGAAATATTTTAGTTTATTATTTTCAATAATTAATATAAATAAAGGACAAACTAAATATTAGATATCTAGAGAAGGTCTTGCCAGTTTTTCATGCGAAAAACATAAATTTACTTATCAAAATACGAACCTTCGCATTTCATAACTTTTTTTTAACGGTTTAGTATTTTATAAATGCTGTTTATAAAAATTTTTTGTTTACTGCGAAGAAAAAAATCTTTTCTCAGATCACTTTCATTATTGAATTTCTTGCTCTCATATGTTTATTTACTCAGAGACAAGTAAGTTGGTGAATATGGTGGATGAGATATAATCTCCCATTTAAGTTCCATTATCTTATTATGAGTCATTTTTGCTACATGAGTCGGTCGTTACTCAGAAGAAATTTTCTTATTATTTACAAATGCTGGCTGTTTTTTCTGTAAATTTTCCTGAACTTTTTCTAACTTATCACAATAGATGCTAGCAGTAATAGCTTTCACTTTTAAAAATTCATTGTCGATTAGAAAAATCTAAAATTGTAATCAACAAAAATTGGCAAGAACTTCTAAGTATCTAATATTAGAAAAATGTAATTTTGATTGTAAGTTTCTTTCACTATTATTATGAAATAAAGAAATAATACATTTCTATTACTATGAAATAAAGCAAGGTTTGAATATACTTTGAGTATACTAGCAGATTCAAAATATAATCGGATATTGTATTTTATTGATAATTTAATAGTTTCTTATAATAAATATGTAACATACTAAAAAAGTAAATAACAATTTGATTAAACAATTCACTATTTTTAACTTAATATATAGAGTTTATTATTGTAATTTTAATCAATTGCCATGATTGTTTCTATTGCTTTTGCTGTTTTTATTAGTTTCATAAAATAATTACGGATGAAAATCAGATTAGCAAGAAATCATTTAGGCTTGAATCTTTCAAAATTCTCGAATCTTATCTGTTTTGTTTAATGTAAAAATATATTATATATATGAATATAAAGTATTTGATTTTTATGATAAATTATGTAAGAAACGCAATATATCAATTTCTCTTTGAATTGCATTGTTGAAAATACATCCACATTATGGTGGAGATTATTTAATTTTGTTTACTCAATAATTTCATTATCTGTGGTACATTTTTTCAAATTTATATATTATATATATTTCTAGTTTGAATATTTACACAAATGTATTGTGTATAAGAAGCTATGCACATTTTCTTAGGAATTAGATAAATATCATGTATAACTTCAATAAAATGTTTTTAGGAATATTTCATGTCTTTCATTAATAATGTAATACAATGTTGATGCTTCTCTTATGGATCTAAAAACAAAATATATGTATATAAAATTGAATTCCAATCTTAAATACTTAACATATTACATTTTTACATACCCTTACAGCCAACCAAGTAATTTTTATAAAGCAATTTAATTTATAGATTTTTAAGCAGTTTGATTAGATAAGCAAGAAATAAATGTAAAAAGTGAAGCATAGATAAAAGTTATTTGCAGGATAAATAAGCATAAAAACTCACACAGGTAAGCAAAACTAAATATATATATAAATCAGTATAAGCAAATTTACTGTCAATTTACTTAAATTTACCTAAATAATAACTCTTCAGGTATTGTTCCGCATGTACGATTTCTTCACATGGCTGGGACACCTCTTTATATAATATATCAAGAACAGATTTTACTGCATCAATGTCATACATATTTTTCATCAATCTTTGTTTGTAAAGTTTTAATCTTTCTACAAGTTCCTTATTTTTACTAATAGAACCAATGTGTTTTTGTAAAATTTCTTCGTACAAAGGCCAGTTAAATGCGCACGCGATACAATCGCATTTAAAGAAATAGTCTTGCATTATCTTTTCTCTTCTTTCAGATTTTGTCATGTATGCGTATGCAGCACCATAACTTGTGAATATTTGATCTCCAGGATATATTGGTCTTAGAGCGCGAGTAATCATTGTCAATCCTTCAAAATGACGAAATGTATTTGGCGCACAAGAATGATTGTACAAGCTGTGTGCTACATATAATCCTGAACCTGTTTTAATTCCTGGCTCTTGTTGCACCTAAAAAATAAATTATAATATAAATGTTTTAATAAACTTGTTATTTATATACTATTTATTTAATAATCGTTAATATAGATTATGTATTATCTTTTAAATAAATTACTGAAAAACAATTGGAAGACATTATAACACAGGCACGAAACATGAGGCTGCCAGAAAATATGATGTTTGGATAGTTGCTGATATTTTTTAATTGATCCACTTCATATTTATTACAGAAAAAATTAGTCTGTGTGGCTAAGAGGAGAGCCGCTAGAGCTGAGATGCAAGCAAAAGCACTAATCCCAATAAGTGGTCGCGTTGTCATATTGGTAGCAAGACTTAAAGCAGATCGTGCACTAGTACTGTCCAATATGCCTTCATCGGTAAATCCTGCAGTTCTGTTGTCTACAAAAGCAAAATAATTCATAAAGTTTAGGAATAAACAGTATGTCATAATTTAATACTTATGTTTTCTTCTAAGAATTTTTAATTCTCTTATCATTGAAATCTTGTCTTACATTTTTTAGCAATAAAATATGAATGCTCTCTTACCTGGATTAGATTCAGCTACTTCCATGTCCATACGCAGTTCATTAAAATTTTTGCCTTTTGATGTTACTACAATTAAAAATCTAATAATTTTGGTAAGCATTCGTATTTTATCCTTATCAACATTAAGTAAGTTTCCTACTAATGCCATAATTGGACATTCTATTTGATGAGCCATTTCCCAAGCTAATTTTCTACAGTTTTCTGAACAATATTGAGAAACAGGGCAGTATGGGCAAGGAATTAAATTATAACTTCTTGATAAACAGTGATGACAGTGTGTATAATATCTGTAATTTATGATATTTGTATATAACAGTAGATATGTTAATGTAAATAGATTTACCTTTGCGTATAAATAATATAAGCATATGGATTTTCTATAGTAACTATATCCCCTGCTTTAAATTCTTTTGTAGCTACTAAATGACGTCCATATTTTTCAGAAAAGGAAATCTTGATACCATTACTAACAGTAGGTGTCTCTTTACTTGGACCATGAGCTAACTTTAGAGCACCTTCATCAGCTAAGTATCTTGGCCGTTTTTCTTTGTCATTATCTTTCGACACTTCATTGCTTGAATCTTTCTTTTCATTAATGTTGAAACTATTACTCATGTCTTCAGAGAGTTTCACCTTTCCATTTCTATATTTTACAACTGTAGGTTCTTCATTTTGTTTTTCTAATAAACACATATCTGCAAGCGTTTCTATATCAATGTGATCTTTTGCAAGTTGCAGTCTTTTCTTAATTTCTTCAATGGCTTTGGCTCCTCTCTCTTCCAATTTTTTCCTTTTTTCTTCTGGATATCCAAGACTTAAAGCAGCATCAATATCTATTAAACATTCTTTGAACATTTGTTTTCTATACAAAGCAGCAGACCGATTAGCATAAGCGTACGACATAAGTTCATTATCAGTGGCATATGCCAAACTCATTGTATAATATTTTATAGCTTCATTATCATCACCCATTACAAAATGTTGGTTTCCTATGGATTTTTCAACTATGATAACTGAAAAAATGATTTATATTCATTTATAGTATGTAAAATATATTTACTACCTTCCTCTCTATAATGAATAGAATCTTCTTCATTTTTTATTTCAGGAATTAATTCTGGTAATTGGGATTTTACCATGTTTTGTAAAATATGATCTATAAGAGCTTCACATTCTTTTTGTAAACCATATCCTGCATGTGATATTTTACTTTGTTTTAAATTTAATACTAATTCCTTTGCTATATCCATGTTGGAAAAATATTGGAAAGATCTTGCTACATAAAAAATATATTTCATAACATTTAAAAAATTTTTATAGCAATTTTACAAATAAATTAAACATAGATAAAAAAAATCAATTTATTATAAAAACTTTTTATATGAATATATTATATATTTAAAAAAAAAGAATGAAAATAAAACCTGATTATTTATATATTTTCTTTACACTAGATAAGAAGGTACTGAATAGACTGTAGTGTTAACTATGTACTAGCTGAAGCAAAACTGAGAGGTGAAACTAAAATTACCTCAAGTAATTTGATGGAAGCAGAAACTGTATGTCTATGTAACTAAGGTTCTAAATTATTTATTACATTAGATAAATTACTATGTAAAAATAATGTAAGAATTAATATATAAGAATTAAGAAAATTCAATTTTTACATTTCATATATATATTTAAATCTTTTTATTTATGTATATAAAAAGAAAAGTAAAAATTTGTAATAATTGAATTTTTTAAGTAAGCAAATATGTTATATATACTGTATATGTTTTAAATTTTTTATTTCATAATTCTTTGTTGATTTTTTATTTCAATATTATTATATTTTTCAAGCATAACTTACAGAAATAATTATATAATGTAATTGAAATATTGCATATTAACAAGAAAAATTGTAAAAAACTTAAAATTTACAATTACTTAATTAATATAAATGTTTAAAATCTTTTTTTCAGTCATGTTGCATAAGCACTTTATAATGAGAACAATTTGGCACAAATCCAGATGTAAAATTGCTAGAGTAAACAGCCTTTAATTGGATATACATATGTGTTATGTGAGTAGTAATATTTATAAAAATAATAATTGGAGTTTAATATAAAATATAAATAATAGAGATATAACAAATAGTAATTGTAATAACTGCATATAATGATCATCAATGTATTATCAGGAAGATAAAAACAACATTAAGAAATAATTTGTGAAAAAAACTGATTAATTTATTAGAAACTTATCATACAACAATTAATTAATGTACATGATATGAAAAATATATAAATTTGTAATAAGACATGTATTATAAACACTGAATGACATAAGACTTTAATAATTTAAGAATTTTAGTTTTAATTATAAAAGAAAGTGTATGTATATGTTTGACTGAATTAATCCTCTTCTGCTTCTAAATTTATACGGCTACCAAATTTTGCATATAGTTGTACTTTTAATTGACTTATAATATTCTTCAAATCAATACATTTGCTTTCCAAATTTAAGATATCCTGTTTTTTTTTTTCTTTAATCTGATCTAAATAATTCTAAAATCAGGAACAAAAAGAAGAATGTTAAATACTTTATTAAATAATACTAACAATTGTTTCAAAAAATATATAAAGTATACTATTAAGAGTTATATACCTGTGTTTTTCCAAAGCCTTCATGAATAAAAACTTCGCCAATGTAGTATGGAATTCTTGTATTTTCCTCTAAGAGGATTATTTCATCACATGCATCTTCTAAGTTTTTTAATTCGTTCTGCAAAAAATAGTACAATATATGCGCATAAAATCGTAGATGTCCAAATAAGGTTGCAAACGATAGGAATTAAGGAATTCAGCACTACATTAATTATTACCTGTTTAATTTTCAATTCTTCTTTTAAATCATCCAGTTTAGCATTTTGTCTTGCAAATTTATTAATTTTTTGTTGATCTTCGTACGTAATATAAACATCGGAATCCTATAAATTAAAATAGGTTAGATCTATAAAATGGTGAAAAAAAAAAGGTTAGTAACTTATATTAAAATTTACCGGTTGAAATCCAGTTTGAACATTTTTTCGCGACATATTTCTTATTTTTACATTAAATTTGTTTACTATACCGTTTATTTTATTCAAGTAACAATCTTGAACATCAAACGGTTGAGGATATTATTTCGTAAAGCTAAAATCTCAAAAGCGAAATAACATTGAAAACGCGTCAGTATCTATTTATTTTAAAGGCGCTCGAGAAATTTATTTGTTTCAATAATGTGTATATATATTTTAACAAGTCAAACTATTTTTTTTAACTATACATTAATTATTAAAATTATAAAAATCAATAATAACAAATATCATGAATTGAACTATGTATATACATTATTCAAATTTAATTTTGTCATTTTTATGTTTATATTTCATGCAATATAAAATTTATTAATGCATGAAACAGATAAATGGAAGAAGTATATTATTATTCAATATTCAAAAGTAAATATATAAAAAAAAAAAGAAAAAAAAAAGTTGAAGGTCCCACCGAGATTTGAACTCGGATCGCTGGATTCAGAGTCCAGAGTGCTAACCATTACACCATGGGACCTTGTGAAAGTAGATTTATTGTAAGTTATTTATTCAGTAATTTACAATGATTTGAAATGAGTTTAAGAAATGTTATTTTACTTGTAATAACTTTCGCTGTTTGTTAATCATGAAAAAATGGGAAACTTATAAAACAAAGTATTTATTGTTATAACTGATATATAATCGTACATTATATATTATTTTTTAATTTATATAAGATATAAATTACAAAAGTTGCTTATATTTTAGAAATAATATAAAATATCATTATATTATTTACATCAATTTTCTTATTCTTTATCATTATGAACTATTTCTATTGTTGAATGTTCATCTATATTTGTTTTATCAGAATCTGTCTCTTTTTTTCCTTCAAAACAAGCATCTCCTTTCTTCTGGCTTATATCATTTGTAGATTCCTTGGTATTACATATTTCTAGTAAATTGTACTTTTTGAATTTATAATAATTTGGAGCAACAGACATAAAACAGAAACCACGTATCAATTCAACAATTACTGCAAGTTCTGGATTTTTTAGATCTGCTTTATTCCCAGGATTTTTTTTGTTGATTATTTCTGCTAAGTCTTCAATTACTTCATTTCTATGTATGTTATTATTACTGTGACGACTGCAACAAAAGTAAATTTATACATATGCTAAAAATTCAATAAAAAAATTCAAATATTAAAGAACATACTTGAATATAATGCTAAATGTTTTTGGTTCTTGTGCAAAGTACTTTTCAAGCATTGCATCTGCTTTTGATTTGATGTCATTCATGTTTGCTTTACAAATAATTTCAATTGGAAGTAATCTCAATAGAAATCTGGTACGTTGTTGTTTTGTGTTATTCAATTCAGTGATAATTTTAGTAACCAATTCTAATGGATTTGTCAAGGTACTTCTTATAAAAATTACATTTTTCACACCAGTGTCAACTACCTAATAGAAAAATTATAAATATTTAAAGTTTTTTCTGAAAAGAAAAATATATCTAAAAAATTCACCTGAAATCTCCTAGCATTTATTGGCTTTGAATATTCTGCTTTTAATTTATTAATTTCTTTGTTTAATGAATCTGAAATATCACCTTCATTGTCACTATCTTTTGATTTATTTACAGAATCATTTTTTTCAGATTCTTCTTTGTCCTCACCATTATCCTAAAAAAGAATTGATATTCTTGTATTTTTACATATGTTTATATTGATGAATTTCAGTATACCTTTGTAGTATCTGGTCCATAAATTTCATCAGCAAATTCATTAAGTAATTTATAAGCATCACGTACACATTCTTTCTCAGAAAAATTGCACGTGCATAAGAAACCTTTCATACCTGCCTCCAAACTGAATTGTTTACGCTTTTTTTGGTTATAACTGTTGTTATGAAAATAATTCTTTTTTCGTTTTTGAACGCTCATTCTTGTTAAAAATTTCTTTATTTACAAGAAAACAATATATTGCAAGGAAAGAATATTTCCGAAAAAATATATCTTGTATAATAAATATTAAAGGCACTTTTAATGGCACGATTTACCAATGTTTACCAATGGAAGATTTTAAATCTACTAGTAAGATTTTTGGTATTAGATTTTATATATTAAATACTTATGCTTTTATATATTAAAAGATTTTCATATTAATTATTTAAAATATGAAACTAATTATATTTTTTAAATGATTGATCCATATATAACGTATATAATTATACCTTCATGAAACAAATACTTTGTACTACTCGATTTGAGAGCCCTCTTTCTTATTAGCTTCATCACTACCACAGACGAGGTACATGTGTATGATTCATGTATTTCGTCCGTATCACTATTAATAATAGTATGTATACAATTTATATAGACATATAATGTACAAATAAAGAATAAAATAAATTTGCAATAATAATATGAGTCATTATAAAAACTGTAAGAAATTATTTATTTTTCTGTATAAATATTAAAGATATGTACAATTGTAAAAATATGTAATAAAAATGTATTATGCTAAAATATATGAAATATATTACTATTTAAAGAAGATCTTTCATTTTAACATTTCGGCGGACTGCATTGCTAAAACCTTCTTTATATTTATACCATACACTATTTTTTGTTAAAAAGTTTCTCGACTTGATTGATTCCTTATCCAATTTTTTTTGTTCACCTTGATTGACCGTAATAGTTCTTCCAAAGAAATCCTTATATTTCTGTAATTTTTATTGTTTTTGTAATATTTTTATTGGAGAAGAAAAAATTAAATGACATATAAAAACAAAATATTATTACTATATCTTTTGTTTCCATTTGCAATTTTTTAGATTGTTCTAGAGCATTAGGTTTGCTAGTTGCATTATTGCATATCTTGGCATCTGATGTTGCTGAATTGGTTGTAACATTATGATTGGTGATACTTTCACTTGTGATACTTTTTTTATTTTGAGCAGATTTTGTCATACTTTTTATTGCATTTTCAACTCGTCGTAATCGTTCAGCCTCTAACTCTTGGACAATTATTTGCTTCACTGCATATATGAGTGTTCGACGATACTTACAATCCGGAAAAATGCCTATTTCAAATATATTACTGGAAAAATATAATTAATTTTATAAATTTTATTTACAAATGTAGATTATACCTTTTCAACTTACGGATCTAGTTTATAGTCATATCTTTCATCAAAATTTTTTTCTTGAATGAATGTGAGGCCAAAATCAATTAAAACATTTACTAATCTATTAATATCATTCTTTTCTTTATCCGAGTGTAAATGTCCAGAAACTGTCCGTAATTGTGGAGATAGTAAATCCGGGAGAAATGGAGCAATATCAACCGTTAAAATTATTTTATTATGACCACTATTTCGTTGAACAGTAGTTAGAATACCAATATTCTTTGCATGTTTCTGATTCATCTAGGAAAATGGAATTTTTAAATTAAATTTTAGATATCATACTTCTGTCTCAAATATGTGATTCTTACTTCATACACAATAGAAGGATAAGATAATTTGATATTTCTTGCTTTTGCAAAATATAAATGCCAGAAAACGAATGCATAATTTAGATAAGGCATAACAGACCAAGTTTGAAGGCTTCCAACAAGAAATAAAATTTCATCAAAAAATTGAAACCATTTTAGACATAGTGCTACATAATTCATTTTATCACTACATATTTCTGGATAATTATGGAATATGCCTTGAGCTAATTTTTCCGATTCCCCTGAAATAAAAAATAAATATTACTAATATTTTAAAAATTCGTATCGGCAATATAACTGAAAACAATTTACCATTTTGCACAGTCCTTAATACAAGCTGCACTCTTTCTGAAAGAGGAAGTATACCATTTCTATTCACAGGTATTTTTAATATTTGTTTCCACGAGTCAAACAATCCTTTCCTACTATCTTTTAACGCAAAAGATAAATTATCTCCTAAATTAACGCCACCCATATATTGTAATGCTCCTATACATGATCTAATGTCACAACCAGATATTTCTACTAATCGTAAAAGTGCATCGGAATTTACTTTTAGTTTTTCCTTTCGTGATACTTCCATTAATCTATCTGCTAGTTTAGTAGCACTTACTTCCGGCACTGATATAATAAAAGCAGTTACTCTCAAAGCTCTGTAACATACATGAAGTAAATATTTGTGCATAGGAATACACGAGTTATATACGTGTGTCAATCTAAAAATTTACCTTAAGGAAGGAGTATATAGTTCATTACAAATGCATATTACAGGGCGATGACAAACATGTTTATCAGTTTTTGTTTTATCTTTCTTTCCTTTTGGAATTAATTTACCTTGCACAAATTTTAGAAGTAAATCGATTGATGCAGTTGGAGCTCCATCAATTTCATCTAAAACCAAACAATTAGGCCGAGGATCGTTTCCTATTACCGCTTTCATTTGTGTTGATGCAAGGAGGACTTGTCTGTATTTAAAAATACTTATCTATATGCATTTGTAATATTACTCGGATATTAATTTTTATTATCAATTATTATACTACCTAAATGCATCTGGACTTCTTTCATCACTTGCATTAATTTCTACTACATTATAACCAGCATGTTTAGCTACTAAATGTGCTAGTGTAGTTTTTCCTAATCCAGGTGGTCCACTAAGTAGCGCAATCCTCTGAATTGGAAAACCTTTACTATCTAATTCTTGAAAAGGTTTTTCTGCAAACTTTCTGTTTCTAAATTTAAAATTTAATTTCTGTTTCTTATTATCAATATAATTTCGGTTAAATACTGTTTTATCCCAAAGTTTTATCCAATGCAATAATTGTCTATTCACACTTTCATCTGAAAGTAACTCTATATAAGATCTAGGTCTATATTTATCAACCCATAGTTCATCATCTTCAAGTGTTTTTGTAACAGGAAGGTGGGAAGTTTCACAACTAGCACGTTTAACATTCTGTACTATCTATAAAAAGACTTAAAATTCTTACAATATTGATATGATTAAAGTTACTGTAATTAGCTGAAACAAAAGATATATGTTTTAAAATAACTTACAATTTCTTCAGCCTCAGTTTTAAGTTGACTATATGGCACTGACAATAAATTAGAAATTGAATGTGTATTTGTTTTTATTTTACTCTGTTCATCATTTTTTACTCTTAAATAAATACGTTGTGCATCACGTGGCCTAGTCAGAGCTACGAAATTCCAATGTGGAACTCGCAATGAAATTGACTCTCTTTTGCTAAATAAAATCATTAAGCAATTAGTATATTAATACAGAATCATCAAGCAATTTGTATATTCTTTTGTAACATACTCTTTAATATATTTGCTGTTAACAGAAACTCCTCTACTATATTCATTAAACTTTTCCCTTGCATCTAATACTGCTTTAATAATTTCTTGAGGTTCATCCCATCGTGGTTTCTTATCTTTTGGTTCCTGAATATCAGCTATAATTCAAATATATAGAATATACATATAAGAATGTTTTAATTTATATGAAATATAAATAATATATAGTACCAAGATCATTTGTATCTAACATATCTGAAATATCCCCAAAAAGTTCATCATAATGTCTTTTTTTTGTAACATCTGTATCACAATTATCATTGTTAGTACTAGGAATAACTTTGCTAGTACTAGGAATACATAATTTATTGTATTTATTAGATGTAAAAGCATTTAATTCCTCATATACATTTGGTCTGGAAATATTTAATTTGTCTCTTTTCTGTTCTTCTTGTGAATTCTCAATTTTTCCAGACTCTGTGTCCTTTTTCTTTTCAAATTCTAAAAGCAATATATTCAAATTCGTAATTATATTTACTAATATAATATAAGCAACTTTTATTAATCCATGCTCAATAAAGAAACACTTTGATACATGAACTAATTAGCACAATAAAATTCATTGCAAAATAAAATTTTTTGTTCCTGCTGAAAAATACTTTATAATCATTTAGGTGAATCTATAAAAAGTTGTGACAACGAGGTTATAATTTATATACCTTCAATTTCTTTCAAAATTTCATATTCTTCCTCATGAACTAAATCAAATTCTTCATTGGGATCAGGAAATTCAGAATTCATAATTATAATTTATTTCAGGATATTTATAGTTACAAATATTGTAATTATTAGGTACTAATATTTTTCAAACTTCTTACTATATATTTTTATGGACTCTATTATATTTTTCCGCGTATTTTTTCGCGGCAATTTCAAACGCCTAAGCAAATGAATTGTGACTTCATTGCAATTGCAAAGATATTAACATGTACTTAATCATATATTTATTTTATTAATTAATTTCGTATTAATTTTTTTATTAATTATCGATAAAAATTTTTATTGATAAAATGATTCGATTTTTATTATGGAGTGTGAATTAATTTAAACGCTCTAATAAAAAACTGTTAAATCAATTTCTGCAGCATTTTTCGAAACTTTTTGCGTCATTTACTATCTGCTGTCTCTTGTCAAGTATGTGCTCCGCATTCAGAATGAAGAATTGTTTCAGAGACAATGCTTCGAATAATAAAGACCATTTCTGGAATGCAGAATGAATTCAGTTGAACGTCACGGTAACGTTGACATCTCTAAAGTAAACAATTGCACACTTAATAAATATAAATTAAAATAGTATATTACGATTAGATATAAAACCAATTAATATTAAATATTATTTTCGTTGTATATATTTGTGATTAGAAATAATTTCTATGCAATATTTTAAATATCTTGTATATTTTCCCTGCTAACAGATGTATGTACTTAGGTTTAGTAAGTGTATTTTCGGCATTCGTAACCATGCGTCAGTCTGTGGCGTGGTGTCACGCGAGTAACAGTGTAGGGTGGATTCTTATCTCGTTCAGAAATAGTATTTAGCGTGAAATGCTGTTTTGAGTTTGTTGATGACTATAAATATTTTGAGTGTTATTAAAGTCAGGCTCTAATGAACTTAGGTAATGTTGTAATTTAATATAAATAGTCATATGTTTCTAACTACTTTTAAGGATGAGGTATTGATGCCACTCTAAGTTTCGAGTAAATTTCAACAAATTTACAAGTAAACGAATAAGCATTGCAACAAAGAATTGAAAAATTTGGTTATGAAAGGTTATGAAACATCAGTTGAAACATCAGTTTCATTTCCTAGGAGCAACCCTTTACCAATTAAGACAGTCACCCACTGTGAATCCGGTTTCGTTAAAATTTCGATCAATACCGTTCTGTTTAAGTCTCTTAGACGATATTGTTGCCCGATAATCAAAGTGTCACGTGCTTTTTCGAGAAGCGAGAATTGGACTGATAATTAATTTCGCAATAGTGCTTTCATGTATGTACACAAGCCGTAAATATTGATAATAAATTGAGAAATGTTTGGAAAATAATTTCACGCAAAGTAACGTCATAAAAATTTTTAAATCAATTTTATGTATGAATTGCATAATGACATGCTCAAATTCGAAGATCAAATTTGTACCAATTATTTAATTCTTGTTACGACAATGAATTCTTTATGAAGATGTTATTTCTATTTTTGTACCTCGTCACTATTAGCGTACCATTTGCTTTCAGAAAATCCAGTTTTATAATCTATTGTTTGGAATTTCCTTGCCTACTTCTGGGAACTTCTTATTAATGTACGATAGTTTCGCATGACCTCGATTCATACAACGACACGTAAATTTACGGTATTTGTACTGTAATGATGTTCCGGTGATTCTGTAATTTTGTATTTCTTTTCTTCGTATTGTGGAAATTATTTTACTAAAATTTATTTTATTAAAAAAAAATCCTTCCTTTATTACATTTGTTTATTATATTCTATTGAATCTTATATCTTTTTTTTTTCGTTATTCTAATCTTCTCAAATTATATGTCTTTTGTAATAAATTCTTTATTTTTCTCTATATCAACAGATGCGGAGTACTATCTATCACATGTGAGCTCAGATTATTCAGGATCATGTGTGAATATGTGAAATTTAGTTATTTGTAACGAAAAGTAAGTGCACGTTCATCGGTGGAATGAAGCATGCAGACCCCTTTATCAAAACAAACAGTCGGTTGTATTGGGAAATGTACTTCTGGACTGAGCATCGATGAATTAGATCAGATAACAGATAACATACACAAGACTCTGAATCATCCGCGTGGAAGGGAGATTTTTAAAAAATTTTTGGAACGACGTGATCTCAGGGACAACCTCGAGTGTTTGACACTGTACGAAGTATGTTTTGAGATTATTGCAGAGGAGACGACCTTCTCGTAAGTAATCGCATAACGATAGCTACATGTTCTTTTTTATAAAATATAAATTAATACATATATAATATTAATAATATTTATAATATTAAATTTAATATAATATTAAAAATATTAATAATATTTATAAAATATACTACTTTCTACAAGTAATATATTCTCTTGATTGAACTACTTTCAAGCAGCAGTCATTCTTTATGTTCTGGAAAGAAGAAAGGTTTTGTCGGTCGATATAAATGAAAAACGAATTTTCAGGCAATCGAGGAGGGAGACTTCGCTGGAATCGTTAATCGAGAAGGTCGTGCAAGTGAAAGAAATGGCTGAAGATTTGGACGGTGTACCGCAGATAGATATGGCACTTCTAGAACGTTTCAATGAAGCATTGAACAGCGATTCGAGAACTTCTTTGCTCAGTGTATTAACAGATACGAGAGATCGGTGTCGCGATCATTTAAGACGCGTTCATGAAAGTTTCAAACAGTATGCGTCGGAACCGTGTCCATTGACTAAATGATCAATAAATATATATATATATATATATATATATTTTTTTTTTTGCATTTTTGTGCCTTTGAACTTTCATTCGTATGGAATGTTAAAGTTATTCTTTGTTTTTTCAACGATTTCAAATGTATCCCGAATTTGTCAAAAGTTAGTATGTGAAACAGGTTTCACATACCAATGTATAATACATACATATGTACGTCTGTGATGTTGACTAATGGTATATATTTTCTGTACATTTTTACTCAGTGAAGTTATACATGTAATTATTTAAGTTACGTAATTTAATAAAAAAAGAAAACAGCAAAAGTTAATGATTTATATCTTTGATAATTAAAATTTTATCTCGAATGTGACACTATGTATAGCAATATTCAATTGCTTTCTCATTCGTGTCGATGTTTTCAGTCAATTGATACACGTTAGATATTTTAACCATGATATGTACCAAAAATACCTACGTGAATGATTCTCGCGTGGAAACGATTATTGCAAAAATAAATAATGTACGCGATACCATGAAATCTTTGGAGGAAAGTCTCGCGACTACGCGAAAGTTGGAAACTGAGCAATGGCTGCGATATTCAAATTTGAAAACAAAGAATAAAATGATGATGGATGATCTCAGAAAGGCGAATAAACGCAATAAAAATATGCTCAGTATGTGGGAATGTTTAAATAAGAACAATAGGACAAATAATGTAACTAATGACGATACATTTGTAGATTTATTTCGGCAGAGCGTCACTGACATTCGTTTTGGAAGCGATATTACATTGCCAGAATCTTTGAAAAAGGAAGTACAAAGATCTTGGCATCAAAAGTAATGTTATTAGTTACTTACGTTAAGAAATAAGTGAACGAACTAATGTAAAGAAATTTATGTAAAAATATTTACTAGGTACGATGCTTTGTTAACATGCAACGAGCAATTAAAGCAGGAGCTTAGTTCCCGGGATTTGCTCCTTAAAGAAAAAACACAAGAGGTAGATTTCATCAGATTTAACAAATTCACGTCGATCTTGATAATTCTATTAAAAAATTTTAGATCAATAGCCTTCAACAAAAATTATTAACGCTCGGTGACAGACTGGTCGAACGAGACGAAGCCGTGGAAAGTATTTGCAAGAAATATCTGTCTCTGAAACAACGGAAGGATGAACGAGAGAATTTGTTACGCGGTTCCATCGAAACGTTGAAACAGGTTGAAAAATAATTGAAAAACTAAACAATCAGGCAGAAGATACTCGTATAAATGGATTAAAAATAATTATGTATTAGGATACACTGAAGAAGACAAACGTTTATGAAGCTTCGAAAAAAGATTCTGGAACATCCTCAACGTCTAATAAAGACGCGTTATTAACACGAGAAACGCGGCGTAGCGATCGTTCGGCTTGCAAAAATTGTTTTTTCAAAATCCTTCTGGAGAAAGCGAAACGCAGTTGCAAAACTAATGGGAGCAGCAGTGTTATTTCTCTCGACAAAACCGCGTAATTAATTTTCCTCGAGGTGTGAGTACGCTTCGTTTGCTTCACGAGTACAAAATGAAGATAGCTTCCAAAAGATTAAATCCATAAAACCATACAGTTGCACAGTTCTAATGGGTTAAGAAGAAGATCGTGGGGCCGTGTTTGCAAACATTGGGGACAATGTTTAAGAATAGCGGAATTATGCAACTCTGAAGGTAATAACCGGATAAAAGAGGCACGCAATAAATCAAGTTAGCGACGATCGATGGCAAGTGCTTCACTATAAAAGCAACAACTCTGTTCAAACTAGTCTTACTTGGTGCTGATCAGCACTGAGAAAAATAACAGGGTTGCCTGATTGCTATTAATTATCATGTAAGTCTCGATCATTTTCAAGCGATTATAAATAAATATGTTTGATACTTTTAAGTTTGCTGATCTTCGACTCGTCACTTTTGTAGGTGCGGCAAATTAGTTTCGGCTGCAGACATATAAAATCACCTAAACGAGAATCTCTTATTTTTTTCACTTTTCTATCGCAAGACATTTGACAAGTGTAAAGTTAATAAAACATCATGTTGAATATATACCAGGCACTGCTCACGTTCTACACCTTTCTTTTCTCTCCGTTGATCATCTTGTTGTTAACGTGCTCGTACGTCTGTCGTCGAATCGTAGAGATCGTCTTGAGGATACAACTGAGAGACAAGTTCGCTGGACTTCTCGATGGAACCGACTGCGTTTGGGCTGTGGAACAACCGACGTCACTCTCTGTAAATAATATCCTTATGATTTTAGAGAAAGACGCTCGCCATTCGAACGTGAATTTCCTGGAGAGTTTCCGCGATTTGGCGAAGAATCGTATAGTGTGCTCGCCGTTTGGGAAGCTGTTGTACAAGAGGAGACGAAAGTTCGGCTATCATTTCTGGGAGAGGAGCGAGGAGATAGATCTGAAGGAACGGGTCAGATGGTTGGAATATGAGCGGGGGAACTGCGACGGATCCTGCGACAGTATCTACAACGGTCACTTGAAAAGGATTTTGTGGAACGTTTGCAATCAGCCACTGCCGGAGAATCACGCGGCGTCTTGGGAAATTTTGATCGGGAAATGCTGTCCCAGGTCGAGTCATCATTATCTCCGACGAATGGAGGAACGTTTGACGAGTAAAATCAGGATTCCCATTTTATTCCGTGTCCATCACTCCTTAGGCGATGGCATGGCTCTCCTCAAGTTCTTCAGGGACGTTGTCATCGACAAAGAACCGGTACCAGAAACGATGCTGCAGCTGGAGCACACAAGTTTTAGAATAAAGAGCGACAAAACGAAGAAACCGCACGCGACGGCGTCTTTGATAAGTCCTGTGAATCTTTGCTTAAACAGGAATAACAGCCTAATAGATAATGGTCCGTTTCAAAAGGACGTTGTGTCAGCGATAATGCCGTTCATTCATCTGACGGTGTTCTCGCATTTCGTTCAATTAATAAGAGGCCACTTCAACGAGGGGCTGAAGTTTCTGAAAAATGTTAGCTTAGAAGATTTAAGACACGAAACGAAACTATTCTTGGCGATGGAACGAGACAGAATAAATATTTTTGTTAGAGAAATTGTTTGGAGGAAGGTACAGAGTTATTTCAAAATAGCGAGGATTATCATAGATACACCTAGTTGTTTGATTCAACAAGCTTTTCGTAGCATGGACAAAAGGTTCATTCCTCTATCTTCCTGAATTTCTTCTTCAAACACGTTGAAAGTGCTATATTAATTTTTTTTTATTGCAGCGCACTCCATGGAGCAGAACTGTCGGGTGAAAAGTTGGTTTCATACTGGCTTGAAGACGATTTCAAAAACACTTGCGGTCAAAAGCTATTTACAAAGATTCAGAACATAAGGAGTATTACAGGCGCCAGGTTCGGGGACGTAGTTTTAGCTGCTTTATCCGTTAGTCTTCACAAGTACTTTCTTCGCGTAAGTGATTGTGTATTTTCTGTTGGTTTGTGCGTTTGTCTTTGCGATTACTCGTTCCTTTAGTTACTTTAAATTTTACAGATGAACGAGCCGGTTCCAACGAAAATAAGCGTCGTTCTGCCGATGAAGATCGAGGAATGGAGCGAGAACCTTTCCCTTCAGAATAATTTTTCAGTTGGCATACTGCCGCTCTGTATATCGCGGATAAACGACAAACAGCTCGCGGATCCGCGAGAAAATTCTCAAATTCTCGAACGCCTCGATGACATTAAAAAAGCAAGCGACGCGCTTAGAAAAAGTCCTGATTACAGAGTGAATTTCTTAGTGATGAAGTACCTCTCAGCTGTGTTGCCCGATAAATTTTTACGTCCGATCTTTCGCAGTTACAGCACGATGGTGTTTAGCAATTTAGTTGGCCCCCAAGAAGTGAAACTTATGGGGCATCCTTTGAAGAATATCGTTTTTTGGATACCAAATAGGTGATTCTCTTACGTTTCGTAATTTCTTCTCCTCCGTTTGATTTGACACGTTAGCAAATAGCATTCCAACGATTGGAGCATACTACTTTTTAGCTTTTAACATTGTCGTTGTCATTTTCAGAAGTTACACAGGGATTGGATGTTCGTTGTTGACTTACAGAGGATATTTGCACCTGTCTCTGATAGCTGACAAAGCCTTGGTGCAAAACGAAAAGGCTCTTACGAGGATCTTGGAAAATACTGTAAATGAAATAGACAATCTTTACGACAGATTGACCTTGTCATTTTTTTCGAAAAAGCTTCATAGGAGTATATCAACACCCACGAAGAAAGGTATGTCAATTGAGAAGAATTTAACGAGAAAATATTAATATCATTTTTCATATTTTCAGCAATCGGTGTGTTGTAAAATACGGTGAAGGACTTTCGTTAACTTTTTAGTTTGCTGGCAGTATTTTACCATTGTATTCTATCATTAAAAAAAAAAAAATCGTTGTAAATAACTGACATCTGTGGCGAGACTCGAAGAATTTCGTGTACTTTGATTTGTATTTTTACTACATAATTAAAAAAGTATATTTTCGTAAGTATATACATAAGTATTTCATATTAAATACTTTCTGTAAACATTATCTGAAGAATGAAATATATTATCAATTAATAAGATCGTATGATTTTATAATATGATAAAAAATGCACATATAATTAAAATTCTCTTCGTTTCATGTGTTTTTAAAGATGATATTAAAAGAAACGACTTTTCATTCATCGATCTATCGAAAGCAACATTTCTCCATAGATATGACTGTCCCAAAACGAAGAAACAAATTTGTTGCTATCATCGATTTGTTTTCAAAAATAAATAAGGCCAAAAAACAATATCAAAAAGAGTATTAAAAAAAGAGAAACTAGTTCGTCGGCGGTTCGTGATTTTTGGTGGTGCGCGTACTATTGAACTTGTTTTGATACGTTGAGTCAAAGTATACTTTGCTTTGTATCGATTCGTTCTTTCCTTTTTGCTGTATTCGTCACTGTGATCGGACGAAACATTTACATCTTCTGAGGTTGCCTCAATGTATTTTCGATATTTCAGTGACCTGTTGATGATCACACGCAACCATTATCACAATCATTATATTTAGAAATCTTAAGCAGACTTAATTCTAAAAATATATCATTTTAACCACTTTTTCTTCCCTATCTCTTCCGGGGATGAGCTTTTTAAATCGCTATTGTCTTCCTGCCGATTGCTGGAAACTGGATTGTGCTCGGTGCACGATTTGCAGGGACAATTCAATTTCAAACTTCGTAAGACTGTCAAAACATGAGGATCATCGACGCTACTAATAACAACCGTCGACTCGTCGGTCGACGTCAGTCCACGATCCTCTGCTTCTTCATCTGCCTCTAACGTCGAAGTTTCCTCTTTGTTCCAAACTATTCTGGATAAAATGCAAATGTTTCTGAGTCAATTAGTACTTTTCCTTTAACACAGATTTCTACAATTGTCGCGTGTACTTTGTATCGTTTTGCAATTCGTCGAAAGGAACCACAGCTTGTCTGTAGGTACTTTGTTCTTCTTTACTAACAGACGATCCCTTTTTTATCTCATTTTCCAAGATTTCCGTGCTTTAATTTCATATTTGATTGTTATAATAAACATTTATTAATACCAATGTATGTAATTATTTTTTAACTTACTTGTCAGCAGGAGAGTCGATCGTGGAATATTTCAAGCGAGGAGATTCTTTCGTTTTTATTCTCTTCGTCTATCGTGCAAGTAATTCATCATTGTTTAATTGCTAGTTGAATTTCATTTCTTATCTTTTTCATAAATTATATTACCGAATGGAATGTGTGAATAGCGATCCTCGCGCGAGGAATTTTACTGCCCTTAACTTGAACCGGTGATTTCGTTGTAGCACTTTCACAATCATCTGACTTCTCGTTTTTTATCTCCTCTTGTGTCATTCCATGACTATCATCATCATCATCATCATCATCATCATCATTCTCAATCGCCTCTTTCGTATCCTTGAACGAAATGTTTTTGCCATTCACTACTAAGTTTCTCTAAATATAATACGAATTTTCTATATCACCGCAATGAAAGTAAGATTTCAAGAGAACAAAACCCTAAACAAATAAGGGCGGAGAGAAATATACAAACCCTCAACAAGTCTGACAGATGTCGAATGTCGTCAGTGCCACTATTAGCAGTAATAGTCTCTTTTTCATCGATGCGATTCTCAATATCAGAAGAGACGATCGTTTTCCAATTACCTCTTTTGGGCGATCGTATTTTCGTGTTTCTTTGAATCGGCGATTTCGCCTTGAATTCCTGAGATCTTTTCTGAAAATTCTTCCTTGATGTAATTCGTCCTCTTAAGTGAGTCTGTAGAATTTTCTTTTTAAGTGGAACCCCACTAACCATCGCGTCACGACCGACCTTCTTGTAATCTGGCGAATTCGGTACATCCGGTTGGCTGATAGCAGCATTATAATCGTACGTTATCTGTGGTTTAGCTGCTCGGCTTTTCGCAGTGATACGCGGACTACGAAACCGCTTGGCCGTCGGCGTGTCATGGGCCCCGCGTTGCGATCTTGCGCTCATTGTTTTCTCAACATGATTATGATTCCACCTGAAATATATCAATATATTTTTTTTTATTGTTCGTATCACATTATATTACAAAGGTACTAAAAATATAGAGGTCAAATTTGAAACTAAATTATACTATTAAAGTAAAGTATAAAGCTCTATAAATTATTTGAAAAATAAGTTATTAAATGTTTCAGTATCGAAACTTACGCAGAAGCTAATGATTCGTTTGTAGCAGAACCTAGTTTTTTCCCTTTGCCTTTACGAAGTTTCAGTTTATTCCAGAGTGTTAGAATTGTCTTCGTGGATTTGCGTTCGGCCTTCTTCAGCGATAAACTCTTCTGATCGATAAGATTTGCACGTCTAGCCTGTTTATCGCTCCATTTCGATTCTATCTTTCGCGTTTGCGACACAGGTGATGTGGAGTGATTAGACTGATGACGAAAATGCGACTGAAATCGAAAGTGCGTTTTCTTGAGATTCGCCAGTATTCCCAGTAGTCGAGTTCACATTTTCCAAAAATACATAAAAATGTGATAGATGTGATTTTTCTGTCAGATGGTTTAGCGCTTGTGGTTAAACAAAAGAATTTTGCATGACGTTTTAATGCTAACTTTTTTTTATTATTATTTTTTATTTTTATTTGCTACGAAGATCATATTAAAGAAAAATGAATTCTTAATATTTCTCTTTACAATGCAAGTTACACATATTTTATAATATTATTCTATTACAATAAAATAAAAGATGACTTTGCAGTACTGACATCCTTGATTAACTATTGTTTTATGCGTGGGAACATTATCTTAACATTGGTCTATACAAAAGAATACGAAAAACAAGCGTTGAAATTTTTTCGTAAGCTAAAAACATTAATGCCGCTGTAAGAATTGTTTGCAATAATTTTGCTTCCATCCCTTTGTACAGTCCTGATATTCCTTGTTTTCTGAAAATAGGAATTCGCATTGGATACAACTGTATTTCGTGGCATTTTATAAAAATGCTGCTTACTTTAGTATGTAAAACAGAATTTCTAAACTCCCAGCATTTGGTGGCAGGTTTGAATAGTTATGACCATGCTAAAAATTCAAATCATATGATATATATACGATTTTTATAAAAGTCAAAAATAGTTCAAATAATGTAAACACATACTCTTAGTTTTGTTTGAACTAATTGCAATGGATAAGTTAATGCAGTTGCTACTGCTTTGGCTATGGCACCAATAACAAAGAACGTCCATGCAGGTGGTTGTAAACCATTTAAAGATGCGAAAACTCTTCTCTTAATAGCCTCGTAAGTCATAAATTGAATGGCTGGATTCATAACCAGCATCAAACTTGGCAAAGTACCCGCCCAAAGCTTCTTTAGACCTTCGACTCTCCATATGTATATAAGACCATCTAAATAATGTGCAATAGAATCAACAATTAAAATTGAATTTCTAATATTTGTAATATTCGACTGACTGCTCAATATTTAAAATTGAATTTAAACATGTATTAGAAGTTGAATGTACATATCATGTTCGTTTAATATTTATTTATTTATTTTGACATGGCAGAAAAGAACGTACCGTATAATGTGTTGTAATCATTGTTATTCCTTTCCTGGACGTGGCCAACACCTCTCATTTTTAATCTGGTATTTACTACCCACAGTGGTGTCGTTGTTAAGACATTAATTACGCCTGGAACAATTATTTTCAAGTGGAAATTTTTTAGGTTTTGTTTAATACAATACCTGCTATTGACGCAACCAGCAGATCATTTCCAGCTGATTGATTTTTATTTGTTTTGAGCATCTTTAAGCCATGGAACGTGTAGAAGTAAACGAAGTTGCTGGCACACAGACTCTGAAGAACAGGTACCATCCCTCTGTACAAAGTGGCTCTAGAATGTAAATTTTATTGTAAATGGGACGAAGTTGCTATTTTAATTGCGACTTGTTGAACATATTGGAAAACGAAAGAAACTTACGGCCCTTCCTTCGTAATGAGGTCGCGCATTGTGGCGAGCGTACTTTTCGATACTCGGTCTTCCTCCACTACAACAAAAAGCAAAATGAATAATTATATGTAAATTGTATGCAAATATATGAAGATATATAGAAAATTATATATGTGATATAGTTTCAAATATATTAAAACATATGATTACATTGTATATAAATATGTAATTTGTGTAGCATTATATATAACATATTATATACAGGGTGTTTCATAACTTGTGGGACTCACTTCGGGAGCTGATCGTACGCCTAAAAATAATGAAGAAAAGTCATATAAATATATGTCTTATCTGTCTTCATTTATGAGATATAATGAATTTTATAAACAGAGCAAACTCTCTTTCCATAAACCGCAATAGTTCGTAAGCAAGAATTCGCACTGTTTATAAATAATACTTGATATCTTTCGTTTTTTGTACTTGATTCCTGCAAATGTGTGAACGTGAAGAGAGTTTTGTATCTACCATACTTTTCACTGATGAAGCTAGTTTTACCAGCGATTGTATATTCAATTTTCATAATAATCATAATTGGGATGAAGAAAACCCACATGTTATTGTGCATTCAAGACATCAACACCAGTTTAGTTTAAACGTACGGGCAGGAATAATTGATAAATTTTTAATT